AAAAAAAAATTGATGACAATAAAAAAAAGTGACAGGTTAAATTTTTTTTTTCACATCTATTATACTTATATAACATTTTTGCTATTTCAATTCTTTTGTTTCTTGCTAGGCGGAAATTGAAACTATGCATTTGAAAAAAAAATGTTAGATTGTTAGATTTTACAAAAAAAAATGTCAAGTTTTAGTTTTGGTTGTCTAAATATTTGCTAGTTTTTTTTCCCCTTTTTTCCTACTTCACATATTGTTTGTCAATCAATTTTAGGTAAAAAATTTATTTCCTGTTAGTTTTTATTTAATTTTATATTAGATTAGGTAAAATTCAAAAAAAAAAATCAATTAATAATTTTATTTTTAAGTACACAGTAATTAAAAGTGGAATTATTCATGAGTTTGTTTGTTTTTTTTCTGATATTTAATGCATTATACAGAACTGAAACTTCCCAAAGTTTACTTTTTATCGTTGACATAACAATTAGCCTATCTATTAACATATCTATGTTATTCGTTCTCTTATATTTCCACACTGTTGTCATATCCAATTTTAAAATACTATCTGTTCTTAAATTTGTTAAAAAAAACCAAAGTAATGATAAGAAAATTTTAAATTAAAAAGAAGAATGATGGAATAAATATACAACATTAAAATATATTTAAAGAGGTGTTTAAAGAGTTGTAACTTTACAGTTGTTGATAGTACCATTAAATATTATCATTATCATCGTTATTATTATTGCTATCATAACAGCTATTATCATTATCAATGACGACATTATCAGTTTCATGATTGCCAACAGCATCAACATTACCATCGTCACTGCGTTATCACCACCATTAATTGTTACCGCTAACATTGTAACTGTCATCGTTATCATCACCATCATTGCTGTCATCAAAATCATTATTATCTTAATCATTTTCATCTTCACCTTTATCATCATCATCATTGTTATTATCATCATTGTCATCAAATTCATTACCTTCACTGTTATCGTAATTTTCATCATCACCACCACTGTTATTTTCACCATTGTCATCAAAATCATCACCATCATCACTGTTATCTTCATCATTTCCATCTTTGTCATCACTAATTCTACCTTCCCCTCCTCTTCTGTCTGATTTGACTTTCGTTTATTGTTAGCTAGCTACCATCGGAAATGCGGTCATTTCATTACTTAATATCTGAAGTAATGCTCTTTCTAAAAATCTATGAATCTGATCTTTCCTTTCTTAATGTTTCGCTTTCTCAAATGATTAAACATTACCGTATCTCTTCTATGCAAAAATCTTTTCTCTTTGGTCTTCCTTAACTTTATAATTAATTCATCCACCTATCTCCCTAATTAATTGATTGATTTATTTGTTTGCCCATAATTTGCTTATTTATTTTATTCACTTATCTCCTTCACTACCTTATTCAATTAAACGGGAGGAAAGGTCAAGTAATTAAATACTTGATCCTTATTCAATTAATAAATGAAAATAGCTATCTAATTAGAGTAAACAAAGATTCCTCAACCAAACACTCCTCATTTACTTTTCTATTTCACTTTCTACATTTTCATAAAAAAAAAATTATTTGATTTTTTCAATTTACACAATTATTCAGACAAGATTTATAATTAAGTATAATGCTGTGATGCCATTACAGACATTCTAATTTTCTGTTGTTGGAGTCAATTATTGGAATCAATTTAAAAACATACTAAAATTATATGACAAATATCAAACTACATTAAAAAAAAACTTCCCTAAACACTTTTTACTTTCAATGAATCATCAGCAGATATTAAAGTTTAACAACACTTTTTGATATAATCTCGAGAATGACACAAAACTTGATTACTAATAAATTTCTGTCAGCTTTCTGTCCTTTTGATGACATTTTCAAGATGAAAATGATCAAACTATTAAATTTTAATTTTAAGGAACATTTTCCGAAAGTAAAAATTTCATGTAACGAAAGTTAAATTTTTCAAAAATAAACATTAAATATTTAAAAAAATGATTATCGTATTGTTGAAGTGATAAATTTTAACTTTATATTTTCTACTTTTTATACAATTCATTCGCTTTTTCTGGCAATTTCATTCTCTTTTAGCATTTATATGAAATGTATCACACATATCCCAACGTTTGAGATAAATATAAGGTTATATTTCTAGGAAATTCAAATTGAATATTTAATAGAAGAATAGAATAGAATAGATTAATACATTCCGGAAATTAATTCGGACATCATGAATTCATTTTAACTCATGAGCACAGATAAAATAATCTAAAATATCAATCGTTCAACCAATTAGTAAATTAAACGAAATGATTCTTGACAATTTCTTATTTGATGGCTACTTTTAGCGATATACATCTATCACTTTTCCGGAATTCTGGTCTAGCTGAACTTGTCCTGATTTCTAATAAATAATGACTTTATTTAACTTTATCTATTCTAATTCAAAATTTATTGCTTAAAAGTTTCAAAGAACTTACTGCGACACAAAAGAGCTTCAGAAAATTCCAGGAATAATCACTCCTGGAGTAACAAAAAATGTGTAAGTGCTTTTTTTGTTCTTTCTAGTTTCGTCTAAATAATTTCAAGTTCTCTCTTTTTTAAGCACTTATACTTTAAGTTTACTTTTCTTTTCTTTTTTAAATAATCCTTGTAACTATTATTTGCTAATTGACTAACAATTAACAAATAATCCTTACATTAACTGTCAAATATTTAGTTTTAAAATATTGAACGGTGAAATAAGCTACGATTATAAATGGTCAAATTAATTGTTTGCTTTAAAAATTTTATTTACTTAAAGATTTTTTCCAGCGTATTGAAATATCTGAAGTGTCGATATTCCGCCTGAATAGAAACACACACACACACAAAAGAAAAAAAAAATGACAATGTTAATGAATGGTTCAATTCACTATCATTAATGTGTCAACTATTGCCATATCACTTAAAAATTTCACTGTCTAATTTTTATTGCAACTAAAGGCATCATATGATTGTGCATCATCATTTATTACGGTAAGCAAATTTTCATCAATTCATAATATCAACGAATTGTCTATCACATTAGGATTATTTTACTTCGAGTCTTCCGGCTAATAAAACCGTTATGAATGTGTTTTCTGTTGAAGGCCTAAAGAATTGAATGATTGATAGTGTACTCAAAATTGAATCCGGTTTTTATATTCATTAATTTAACATTATTCTTTAATAATGATAAGATTTTGAAATAATTTGACCGCTGGCATGTACATTCATATCCCATATTTGGTATAAATTAATGTGAATGATAGAAAATGGAATAATTGAATAATTCTGAGAATTAATTTTAATATTTGACTTAATTTTACAAAGAAAAAAAATTAATCAATTTCAGATATGCGTTTAGCGGTCATTATATTAATAACATTGATTGCTGGTACGAATGCGATATCATTTTTGACCAATGAATGGACAGAAAGTATGAAACAGTTCTTTCAGCAAACGCAGCAAAAAATTGGCGAAAAGGCTAATGACTTTTTAGATGGTCCGTTAAATTCTCATTTTTAATTATTCTAAAAAAAAAAAAGCAGTAGCCATTGTGTTATATGATTATGCAAATTTCAATGTATAATAAATTTTCTTGAGGAATATTTTGTTTTTCTTCCTAATCATTTTACAACTATAATTCAGTCTCACTCCCTTTATTGCAATTGATAAGATATTATAATAATTCAAAAAATTAAAACCACTTTTAAAGTTTAAAAAAAAAGAAAAAAGAATGCTCGAAAAAATTTGCTCAACAAATATATTTGCACTTTTAACTCTATCAGTTCATGAGATGCTAACTTTTTTTTTGTAACAATGAAAAAGCAAAGTTTAAAATGGAAGTTTTATTTTTCCGGAAGTTTGCGCAATGTAACACTCAAAGTTGACACGAGAGTTAATACCAACTTCCTAACATTAGCTTCTTTACCTCTACCTCAAACTTATATAACTATACTAACACCAAAGTTAACACTACCTTCGTAACATCAGTTTCCCTACCTTCATCTCAAACTTACATAATTGAACTAACACCAAAGTTAACATCATCTTCCCAACAACAATTTCTTCACCTCTAGCCATACTTATATAATTAAATTATTAGATAAAAAAAAAAAAAACAATGTTAGCGTTACATAATCACTGAGAATTAAAATATGCAAATTAATAAGTGAAGATACGTCCTAAAAATGTTATCATAAAATAATTTCCCAAAAACATACAATCTTGAGAAAAAACACAATTTTGAGAAAAGAAGAAAAAATATTATCTTCCTATATGCATGATTTTATATTTGGCGCTCTTTGTTAGCGCAAATTGATTAAGCGCTCTTTGTTAGCACACATTACTAAGCAATGAGCACATAACAATTCTGTGAACAATGATAGCATTCTTGTCATACAGGAAAAATTAGAATGATTTTTAAAGTTCAATCATGATCTAATTTGATAAATACAAATCACTAATGAATCCTTTACATATACATGTGTGTTGTTTTACTGGTCATAGAATTTCGCATTTAAATAAAATGAAATAAATTTAAATAAGGATAAAATTGGGATAAAATTTAAATCTAAAAAAGAAAAGTCTAATATTTTCAATAAAGAAACATTGATAATTATTTCTATTTAAGTTGCATTATTAAAATTGAAAGAGGAAATTTAAATGTATAAAATTTTATTGAATGTAAGCAAATAATATTACCCATATTTAAATAATTCCTTTTCTCTATTGTCATTATTGTTGTATTCGTAACTATACTTGATTGTGTCATTAAAATAATAATAACTTTTCTAAATTTAAATGAATAAATGCGCATAGATACAAAAAGAAAGAAAAAATTATTTAAACCAAAATTTGTAAAATATATGCGACAATTTCTGAAAAAAAAAAGTAAAGCCTACGTTATTTATAATTGAAAATGTCATTTATTTATCAGTCAAAATGATTGAACGATTAAGTTTTAATATATTTATACAAAAAGTTAAAAAAAATAAAAAGTGGATATGATGATTTTTTCTTTTTTTTTTAACATAATCTTTTATTGAAAAAAATTATTTCAAATAAAGTAATATTAGATAATGCAAAGATTATTCGATAATTCATTTACTATAAGATGGATTTTTATAAGGTATTGATTACCTAACAAACGTTAACCATGCCATAACTGAGTTTAATTAATTCATCTCGTAGTAGAATATTCGATTTTTTCCTCTAATTAAATTTAATATGTTTAATTTAGAATGTTGTATTTGTATTAAATTATTTAACTTAATTCAATTTAATTAGTCCAACTTATTTAATCAAATTTAGTCAAATTTGATTTCGATTTAATAATTTACCAATTTTTTTTTCAGAACTTGGGAAAAAGCTTGATGATGCACAAAACTTTGTTGAACAATCAAAAGATGTCTTTAGCACGGTTGGGAGAAATTTGAAAAATAGTGGTGAAAAATTAAAAGTTGCAGTAATGAAAACAGCCGAAACAACATTACGTGGAGCTGGTGATGAAGTGATTTCTTCATTTTCTCTCTTTTTTAATCTTAAATATTTTCGAGATAAAGTGAAATATCATCGTTACAAATTAGTAATAATCATATTTTTATTGTTGTTATTGAATTTTTTTGATATATTGAAGACTTAATTTACATATATTTATTTTATTTTTTGGGTTCCAATGATAACATATAATAATCAAATCAATCTTTTTCTGCAAATTAAACAACTAAATTAATTTTAACATAAAAATATGTTAAAGTTTTTTATATTTAACCTTTTTGGATAATTATCATTTGTAACAAAAATCAAATTTTTATAAATTTTTAATTTAATTTTATCATGTTTATTTATTGTTTTGATTTTCAACATTCATATTCTTTTTTTTTTACAAATATTATATCAGTTAAGATAGTGATATTTTTTATCACTAATATCAAAATTTGTGAAAAAAAATACATTATATACAAATAAAATGAGTAAAATGAATTTCAATGAAAATCAATAAAATGAGTAAATGAATTTCAATGAAAATCAATAAAATGAGTAAAATGAATTTCAATGA